AACCCGTTCCTTCCTCCTGTTTTTCTTCATGATGGTTTGCTACGTTGCAAACCGCAATTCCGTCGAGCAATCCAAACACTTCAGCGCGAAGCGACTTCAGTCTTTCGCGGCGCATTGCAATCCAATCTCACCATCTCATGTTTATGATGCCCCTCCTCCTCCTCCTCAGCATCCTACTCCTTCTCAACCTCAAGCTCCCCCTCCCTCTCTTTCTCTTTCTCATCTTTCTTCTTTGAAGCTTTCTCCACCTTCTCCTCATAATTGTCATCTCCTCCTCGTCCTCCTCTTCCTCCTCCTCCTCGATACCAAACGCCTTGTCCTCCTCGTCCTCCTCCTCATTTTCCTCCTCTACCGTCTCCCAATCCTCCTCCACATCCTCTTCCTCCTTATGTTTGTCTTCTTCCCCCCTCCGCTTCAAAATCAAATGCATTGGCCTCAACTCTTCTCTTCCTCCTCCTCTTCCTTCTCCGTCCCCTCGTCCTCCTCATTCTATGAATCCTCATCCACTTCTTCCTCATGTTTGTCCTCATCATTCTCCTCCTCCTACCCCCTCTCACTTTCAAACTCCTTGTCCTCCTCTTCCTCCTCCTCCTCCTCCTTGTCCTCTTCATCTTCCTTCTCTGAATCCTCCTCCATCTCCTCTTCGGCATGTTGTCCTCCTCCTATTCCGATTCCGCAAATTTAAACTCATTGTCCTCCTCCTGCTTCTCTTCCCCTCCTCCTTCTTTAAATTCTCCTCAAGCTCTCCCTCATGTTTGTCCTCCTCATCAGAATCCTCCTACTATTATTCCTTCTCCTCCTTCTCTGAATCCTCATTCACCTCTTCCTCCTCCTCCTTCCCCTCCTCCTCCCAATGTTCGTCCTCCTGCTCATCGTCTCCTCCTCCTCCCCCTCCAACCACCTCCTCCTCCACCTTCTCCTCCAAACCATACTTGCCCTACTCCTCAAAATTGAGCCCCCTGTTCTCCTCTTCCTCCTCCGCGTCATCTGGTGACTGCCGAGCTTCAGTGGCACCAGCCATAATTGAGCAACATCCTCCCCCATTTTCCACCGCCTCTTCCTAGCTGTGGAGCGGCGTTCACAACAAGTTTTGTAAATAATGATTCGTAGCGGAAGGTTGCCCGCAAGGTTTGTTGTGGAGTTGCATTCGCAATTAGATTGGAGGGAAACGCCTCGAAGTGGAGAGGAGGGGGCTGAGTGATCAGGAGCCGTAGCAGCAGGAGGAGTAGGAGGAGGGAGAAGAGGAGGGTGAGGAGCATGACGAAGGTGAGGAGCAACACCTTACTCACAAAACTAGGTGTGGAGCGGCGTCCACAGCTAGTTTTGCGAGTAATGTTTCGTAGCAGGAGGCTGCTCACAAAACTGGTTGTGGAGCTGCGTTCATAACTAGATTTGCGAGTGACGCCACGAAGCGGAGAGGTGGGGGTAGAGTGAAGAAACGAAGGAGGAGGAAGGGGGGAGGAGCAGGAGGAGTAGGAGGAGGAAGAAGAGGAGGGTGAGGAGCATGACGAAGGTGAGGAGCAACACCTTACTCACAAAACTAGGTGTGGAGCGGCGTTCACATTTAGTTTTGCGAGTAATGTCTCTTATCAAGAGGCTGCTCGCAAAACTGGTTGCGGAGCTGCGTTCGCAACTAGATTTGTGAGTGACGCCATGAAGCGGAGAGGTGGGGTTGAGTGAAGAAAAGAAGGAGGAGGAAGGATGGGGAGGAGCAGGAGGAGTAGGAGGAGGAAGAAGAGGAGGGTGAGGAGCATGACGAGGGTGAGGAGGAAGACATCACTCACAAAACTAGGTGTGGAGCGGCGTTCACAGCTAGTTTTGCGAGTAATGTTTCGTAGCAGGAGGCTGCTCGCAGAACTGATTGGGGAGCTGCGTTCACAACTAGATTTGTGAGTGACGCCACGAAGCGGAGAGGTGGGGGTAAAGTGAAGAAAAGAAGGAGGAGGGGGGAGGAGCAGCAGGAGTAGGAGGAGGAAGAAGAGGAGGGTGAAGAGCATGACGAAGGTGAGGAGCAACACCTTACTCACAAAACTAGGTGTGGAGCGGCGTTCACAGCTAGTTTTGCGAGTAATGTTTCGTAGCAGGAGGCTGCTCGCAGAACTGATTGGGGAGCTGCGTTCACAACTAGATTTGCGAGTGACGCCACGAAGCGGGGAGGTGGGGGTAAAGTGAAGAAAAGAAGGAGGAGGGGGGAGGAGCAGGAGGAGTAGGAGGAGGAAGAAGAGGAGGGTGAGGAGCATGACGAAGGTGAGGAGCAACACCTTACTCACAAAACTAGGTGTGGAGCGGCGTTCACAGCTAGTTTTGCGAGTAATGTTTCGTAGCAGGAGGCTGCTCACAAAACTGGTTGTGGAGCTGCGTTCATAACTAGATTTGCGAGTGACGCCACGAAGCGGAGAGGTGGGGGTAGAGTGAAGAAACGAAGGAGGAGGAAGGGGGAGGAGCAGGAGGAGTAGGAGGAGGAAGAAGAGGAGGGTGAGGAGCATGACGAAGGTGAGGA